TTCATTTTTTTATTCCAGGGGAGAAAGCAACAGCCAAGATATTTATTCCACAAATGTGGCGACTCAACGAAGCATCGTTACGACTCGACCTTATCAACAGCGCACAAGSAAGCATCTYGCAATTAAAATTAAATGACAGCACCATCACCTTCGACCTTCCTGYTGACCAGTCCTTCAAGATACGTCTAAMTGGCAACACACGTGACGGGGAGTCATTCATGAGGACGTCACGTGTCATCAGACCGCAGGCCGCAGTCATCCGGGCTCAGATCCTTGAAGACATGCAGACAGTCAAGCGCGGTAAAATCTCRTACTTTCGCGCSTTAATCGATCACATGGCTGATAAMGATATGGTTTTTACAGTGCAAGGTTCTTCATCTACACCAGGAGTATTCTTGACTATGAGGAGATCTGTTAGGGTTAGGAAGGGAAGACCAGGGTTTATTCCTGTGTTTGTTGTTACTCGACTCTCAGTGTCTGCTGGTACTGTTGCTAAGATAAAGATAAGCGCAAAGAGCGAAGATGTTAACATTAATCTTTTAGCTAAAGTTATGGTAATTTAATGCAAAATTGATAAAAACTGAAATAAAACTGTTGAAAGCGCCCACGATGCATGCTACAAGCCCTGAAAAACATGACCCTTGTGTGAACTCAGTATTAGATCTCGAAATTTCCCAACTTTGGACTTAGGACAGCTTCCAGTGTCGTAGAACTCAGGATGTGTGAGTGCGCGTTTTGGAGCAAAAATTCCCAATGTATCAACAGATAATTTATCAGTAAAAGCACCCTTTCTAGGCATTTCTGACACGAAATGACATATAGAATTAAGGAGTAATGATAAAAAGGTAAATCATACACCGTGAAAAGATGAAAAAACATACTGACGTTTCGGACGCTAGTCCTTCGTCGGAGTAAAAGACGAAAGACTAGCGTCCGAAACGTCGGTAAATTTTTTCATCTTTTCACGGTGTATAATTTACCTTTTTATTATTACTGTTTCATTAGAAACACCGACGCAGCTCACGCTAGTTTTTTAGCTAGTTATCTCTTCTTATAGAATTAAGGCGAAAAGCATGTACCACTATTGAATACCTTGGCGTATCCCCTTCATAGTAAAGTGTTTCGTTCCATTAAAAAGGGAAAGGTACAGGTAATCCATTTCTCATTATCTAACGCGTAGCGTCTCCCCTTTCCATTTGTTTTCCCACAGGGGTATTCGATAGTTAGTCTGCGAAAAGCAAGGGCAAACCCACAGTTATATGATAAAGTTAGGAAATCATAGTTAGCAATCTAATTCACGCCATAACTTTCTCCCATTGTGTGCCTATGTTTTACATAAACGTTGTAATATATTATCCTGTTTCCGAATTACAAAAATCGTTAAAAATTGTTTTATTTTGTCTTTATTCCTCTTCGATAGTATTTGATTAGTGTCCATGTCGCGCGCTGTCATTTTAAGCACGTGATTTATGTAGCCCACGTTCTTTAGGGATTGCGGTTTCTCGTGACCCGGAAAATACTTTCTTGTGAAGTGTAAGCAGTAACCTGTGTTTCAGTACTCTTTCCTTTGGTTACGTATATAATACGACTATTTGTACTTGTACTGAGTATTGCACCACAAAAACACCAAGGTTTATTGGGATTGTGCTGGAAAATGTCATCTGGTGGTCTACATTGGTTCTCATCTTGTGTTTTTAAAACCTTAAGAGATTAATGATGTCGTGGTTATGGAGCATTTGGATGATTTGTTTATTTTGCTTTAGCCTAAGTACTTCAGCTGAAGCTGCCAACCAAATAATTATACGTCGAGGTTACTTGCTATCGAGCTATACTATATTCGACTTTTTTAATTATACAGCTAGCATTTGTGGTAAAAAAAAAGACGTCCACATATGGTGCAATGCAAAAAATGCAGAACAGCCTTCTAGGCATTCATTAAATCCCCCATGGCCTATGTGTTCTTGTCAGTGTCAACATAATTTTGAAACATTTCTTTCAAAAGAAGAAAAATGTGTGAACACTTCTTATTTGAAAACTCATGAGGATTTTGGAAGTGGTAAGCGTATGTGAGTTATATTTGTAAGATAATTTGCCAGTCTTCATGCATTTTTTATTTAAAAATAGCTTGCTGAGGGCTGGTTCACACTTTAACATAAGCAYAAGCATCAACATAAGCAAAAGAAACACAAGTGTGAACCAGGCTTGCATAAAGCATAAGCATAGGGAATGGAAACTTTTCCATTTTCTTCTGTTTATGCTTATGCTTGTGAAATCCAAAATGTGAACTGGGCACATATAAGCATAAGCATATAAAGAATTACAATAGTACTATATTTTTTATGCTTATRTTTATGCTTATGCCTATGCTTGCAAAACCTAAAGTGTGAACCGGGCATACATAAGCATAAGCATAAGAATTATAATAGTACTATATGTTTCTTATGCATATGTTTATGCTTAATTAATGTTGAAGTATGAACAAGCCCTAAATAAAGCTCTTGTTTCGTAAACTGACTTCTCAATATTTCTTAATTGCTATAAAATAAAACACTAATGTCTGGTCCCTATATCATTTTGAATGTTGTTTGGAAGTTGATGAACATTTTGGAAATGAAATATTCGCATGAAGTCATGTTTTTGAGGGGTTTTGAGCCATTTGAACATTTGCTTCACTCTCTCTATGTATATGAAGATATAGAATTATAGATAAGTTATAGTGCTTGGGAACAAGGTTATTCCAGGCGAAAGACCCTTGGAATTAAATTTGGAAAAATTAATTTCTGACCTCGCTGGGAATTGAACCCATGACCTTCGGAATTGTATTGGGAAGATATGCAAAAGAGCCTCCAACATTTCACACCAACCTCTACTTTGAGCCCCATATCTTTGAAATAACAAACGTCTCTGAAAATTTACCACTAGAAATCAATTCTCTAATAAGAGGTCTTAGAAAAAATTTCTTGTCCATGTGATACTGAGAAATGAATATTTTAAATTTGAAAAGCGAGACATACATATGCATGGATTCCATTGAATCCAAAAATCATGAAAAATATTTACAGAAAAAAACTAACATTTTATTACCAAAATGTTTCTCAACTACACTGAACAACATTCATAGAGACATTCAAAATGATATAGCAATTAAAGTCCTCATGAAAGCATATTTTCAAGTCACATGAAAGTTGAATTGTTCACTCGTTAAAACTAATGACATTACAGCACACTAACTCTATACTTAGGCTACAAGTGATTCACTAAGATTACTATGTTTGTTGTTGYAGGTACATACAAATTCAATCCCCAAGCAGATTTTACTAAAGCTAGTAGCATTCAACTTATTACACCTAGCACGACGAGAGTGTGTAATAGTTGTAAGGTACATGAAGCCATGTACTTCAAGAAAAATGGTTGGAAAAACACTGGCCATGGAATTAAAATCAGAATTAATGTTGGAACATGTGTAAGTGAATTCGTTCTAAATTAATTTAAAACAGTTTATAAGTTGCCGTAATTCCCAAGAGAATAAAACAAGCATGTTGGTTGATATATCAAAAGAGCCTATAATGAAAAATGTTTGGTTAAATTCAACCATGATGATAACTATAAAAACTAGTATAGTCTCTATACAGGGAACCTGGCTTTTGGAGCCTGGCTGCATTAAATGATTACTTTGAAATACCTTTGCTTATTATGAGAACTTTTTTATTTGAGAACTTTCAAAACATCACGAGTATATATAAATTCCAAATTATATGAGAAGATTAAGCGATCTTTTGTTTATAATACACTCAACAAAATTGAGCAACTTAATTGGGACTCTAAAGAGTATGATTTGGGATTTAATTTTTCTCCTCTTGTCCAATCAGAATAAAGTAATTTTGTAGAGTGTGTTATAATGTAATAAACTACTATTGATTGTTGGACAGACATTGTTCTGGAATTCATCATCTAAAGAACTAGTTGGCAAGTTATTGAAAATCCAGTTGAAGAACTGCATTTATCATGAATTAAACAAGTTATTCTTTTTGAAATCAAAAGGAAGCTGTAAGTACAAATTATTTTTGATATACTTTATAAATGTACATTTTAAAGAATGTTACRATTTTCTAAGTTCAATTATATAATTATGATATTACAAATTTTTTTGTAGAAGAAGTAGGTAAAAATATAATAATTAATGAATAAGGGACTAGGAAGTTTTGAATTTGGACAAGCAAATTAAGACTTACTACTACTATTGTTAAGTGTGACTTGCTTGGTGTATAGTTTGTCGACTAACATTTAAATGATGGTCAATCAAAGAACTGAAGAAACCATGATTATAACCATGAAGTTAAGAGGGAATCCAGTTTTTAAAAAGTTTCTATTATCTTAGAAATTACACTCCTCCTTCCCTGAAAAATATGTTCCTTAACATTTGTATAAATATGCCAGTAAGTTTAATTTCCTCTTTATGCAGATGTCATTGATGTACCAATACCACCACCATCACCACCTCCTTCTTCTACTGTGGTTGCAACAATTTCATCTTCTATGGATTCTACTGAGACACCTACATTTACTTCCTCTTCTACACCCACTGTTATAACTACTCCAACTCCAGCTTCTACTGTGGCTGCAACCATTTCATCTTCTATGGATCCCACTGAGACACCTTCATTTACTTCCTCTTCTACATCCACTGTTACTCCAACTCCAGCTTCTACTGTGGCTGCAACCATTTCATCTTCTATGGATCCCACTGAGACACCTTCATTTACTTCCTCTTCTACATCCACTGTTACTCCAACTCCAGCTTTAAAAACATCCACTCATCAAGTACCAGAGTTTGTAACAACACCACAAGTGTCTCCTACAAAAACATTTATAGTATCTTCACACGTATGCAGCAGTGGTGATATTTGTCCAAGTTCAAGCTCAGGTTTGTTTGAAGTTTATCCTATCAGGCCATTTGGTAGTGCTTAGAATAAAGACATGATACTGAGAATAGAGCCTTGTATTTGAAACATTACCTAAGGTACAGTCAAAGTACTACAACCATGACCTTTTCTGCTGCAATTTATACTATGCATACTATTATAATTTATATTGGAATCTTGGGATCACTGGGTCTGGTTTACATCATATCCTCACTTCTCCTACCACYATTCCTTAGGGAAAAAACAGGCTCTCACACAGCTTAGTAACTGCATGAGCTTAACATAAAGGCATCACACAAGGTTCTTCTTTTTATTTGCTTTTTCTTTCTTTTGGATCATTTGTAGAAAAGGGACATTGCTTCAAAAAGTTAGGCTGCATTCATAATGTATAACAGAGGGGGGCCAAGTGAAATCTTTAAATGACAAAGAAAATTCTTAAGACCCCCTTGAAGTCCACCCAAGAATAGCTTTCCCCTGGGCAATCTCTCATATCTCCTAAATATATTGCACCCCCCCCCCCCCAATTCTCTGATAAGGAATCTTAATCCCCCCCCCCATTTTACTGGTAAAAGTTTTTCYGATCCCCCCTCTGCCATACATTATGAACGCAGCCTTATGACATTGTTTTTCTTTTACTAGTTGAAATACCAGTTAGAACGCTAGAACGTTTTATATGACTGTCAGGATCTATCAATCGATCGGTAATCATCTGCTGGAAGGGTGTCTTCCAGAAAAGTTGAGGACTAGAGGGCAATTATTTTGTTAGAATAAAGAAAATTTGAGTATAGTTTGGATAACCATTGTTAAAAGTTATAGAGTATTTGCAATTATCATCCCTGATAATTTCACCCAACTTAAACTACCAAATTTAATTCAGTTGCAGTTTTTCTGCCTACAACAGCAATTCAGTCACCCACTAATAGAACTCTTGGTTATCAGGTATAAACAACTTTCATTTACACGTTATGTTAGGATTTCATATCGACCAATCAGGGACTGTGGAGCAGGCTTTTGARCCTACGTTGTGCACCTCATCCTTAGTCCACGCCCATATAGCCATTTCAGAGGAAAATTCTTTTTTCAAAAACAAGTGAAAATTYTTGCCCTTTGTTTATTTTTAATCTCGCTTGAAAATATATCATTACATCGCTGACATTTTTATTGCTTTTAAGTTTCTTCTTTTTGATTTTTATTAGAATTCTTTGGGATCTTCAACTTGGGCTATTATAGCAGCAGTTGTTGCCTGTATTCTGGTTGGCGGAATCATAGCACTTTTTGTTGTTTTGAGAAGACGCAGACGTGACAATCGAAGGTAACACTGAGAGTATCGGACTATTCATTCTCGTACCCAAAGCCTTCTCAGCTTTCTAACGAAAAATCAAAAAATCGATTTTTTGGCAAGAAGGGTCTGGGTACGAGAATGTGGACTATTAGTATCGGTATAGCCAATAAGCCTGAAGCGAGTTGACGTTTTACCCCCGTCTCTAGACCATAATCCTTTTCACATTGCTTTTGTTCTTTAATTATGACTATTCCTGTATTCTCTAAGGAATCAAAAATTTTAATATGAAAGAATTTTCAAAACTATTATGGTATAGAGTTGGGGGTAAAACCTCATCTCGCTTCAGGCTTATTGCACAAATACTCCAGTTTCAAGTTCTCTTTGCTCAGCCTTAGCTTCCGTTGTACGTTGAAATATTCAACCATTCATCCAAAACCTGTGGCAATTTAATCAACACCTATTGTTCCATAGTACATACRTTCCTTACTATACAATGGACCTTAATAAAAGAAAAGAACACGTTTGTACACAATCGAGGCTACAAGTAGTACTTACTATCAGTATTAACCAATTCATTTTTTTTGTTATAGGGCAAGATTCTCCAAAGATCCAGCCAAAGTGCCCACACCAGATAGTAAGTTAGTTTGATTATAAAATAAGTATGCTTGATTTGTAGGGTTGCATGTAAGTATCAATAATAGACTGTTTTGCCAAAACTTGACACAATCCTGCCCTTTTGGTGGATCTGTGGGTTCAGTGTTAATGAACCTCATATCTGTATTCAAGAAGCATATATTAGTCTATAAAGGTCAGCAGTAGATCCAAGGGGAGGGTCAGGGGGTGCGGACCCCCTTGTCAATTACTGAGGTTCGACTCTTTTTGTTAACCTGGATAATTTAGTTTTTTTTAGCCACATGTTTGAATTAAATTCTGTATTTTTATATAAACTTATTTTTGATATGTAACCAGAGGTGAGGATATAAGTAAATGGTTGTGAATAGGTCAGACTGGTTTTGGGCAACCTTCCCCTCTCCCCCTCTCCCCCTCCCTCCCTCCCTCTCAAAAATTCCTGGATCCGCCCTTGAAAGGTTCATGATGAAAGGCCTAACGAACCTAATATGGCATATCCTATTTGTATGTAGCTGATAATCCAATGTACGGCCATAACCGAGGAGATGTGATTTCACTGTCAAACCGACAAAGCGGCCACACACAGAAGGACGAAGGTATGTACGCTAGCCTAGGTAGCATCTTTTCTCCAACAAGGAATCGAGGGTCATCGGCCTATTCCTGAGGTGCTGGACGTCGCTGTTGCCGAGTGCTCTCACGTCATTATTTCAGTCATTTTTCTAATTGGGATATATTTATTTTACAGATGAGGAATATGATTATGCTACAGTGGATGGTGTTCGCAGTGATCATCAAAAACCATCCACACCAATATATCAGAGTTTGATCAAAGACAATGTAGGAAGCTCAGGTAACTAAAGGCCCTGTTACACGTTGAAACTTTTAGGTGAAGCTTGCGTACAACGGCATTGCGAGACAAGTTTCACGGGGGTGTTACGCGGCGAAATTTCGTTCTGAAACTTGTTCGCGACACAAGTTTCGGTTGCAGGAGTAGAAAGCAGTTCTGCTTTTTGTGAAACTTTCTCGCGACGAAAGTTTTACAAAGCTGGGGTGTTACACGGTGAAATAGTCCATTTCACGGTTCCCTGCGCCATCTTGAAAGGTAACYGTGCCTTTGTATCGTGAATAATTGTCCAAGGTGTTAAAAAAGGTCTCTATCATTGCAAGCTCACCGTTCGATGCAAAGGCACGGCTACCTTTCAAGATGGCGCAGGGAACTGTGAAGGGGACTATTGCTTCTGAAACTTGTCTCGCAACGCTGTTGTACACAAGTTTCACCTAAAAGTTTCAGCGTGTAACAGGGCCTTAACGAGTTGCATCCATCATATTAAAATCGCTTGTACGTCCAGTACTATTGAATTTGGAAGACRAAACATAGCCAAAGCCTTACTATTATAAGAGATGAAATTCATTGTTTTGTCTTCCAAATTGATCTCGTCTGGAAATTGCTGAAAGGGATTTATCAGATTGCTAAGGTATATTAGATTTTAATCTAGATTTTTTTTCAATATCAGTTTATGACCCACTGAATAAAGTAGCTACAACACCCATGGRATACTCGTATAACCATCTACAGCATCCCCAATACAACCCTGCTCGTTCCAAGAGTGACCCACTATACAACACCTTAGAGATACCAGACGATGACGAATATCAGGAACCTGAAACACAAATCATTGACAACCCGACAGGAGTCTCAGAACCTGTGTACAATGTGCTAGAGGGTCCAGATGCTAATTCAGCCCCACATGATGATGACCCTGTATACAATGTACTGAAAGACCCAAATACTAACCAAGATAATGACCCTGTATATAACGTTCTCGAGGGCCCTGATGATGATTATGATAATGCTCCAATAGACGATGATCAAAATATTCCAGCATCAGGACAAGATAATGTTACATATTCTTCCACCATTGATCTCAACATACCACAATCTCCGTCTTCTCCTGACTATGACGTACTCGAGGACCCTGAAGGTGCGCTTCCGGATTCGACGTACCAGCCCCTCAGTATAAGGGTCCAGGATGACGTGTATCAAACATTGGACAGAGCATCACAGTCCATTTATCAGACACTTGAGCCAAATGATAGCAAGGCATAGATGAAAAGCAGAGATACTACTAAAAGATTGTGGAAGGATGGCCAAGTACGAAACGAACTATGCTGCAAGCAACTAACGAGAATAGCAATTAGATGGCGTATGTAACTAACATAAGCTAACCCGAATGCTAAAGCTTGAAAAGATAACGGACTACACGTAAACAAACCTCTCGTCTTCCCATCTCAAATACAGATGTGGCCGCTAACTAGAAGCTGAGATGCAGTATTCACTAAAATACTGTACACCACATCCCCACAGAGGGAGGAGATAGGATACGCCAGTAGGCACACGCTAGCAGCAACAGACACAGACATCACATTTGGCGCAGGAAGCTCGATCTCAAGGGGTCAGTGTACGCTAACTATGCCAGCCTCTTCCCAACTCTTTATTCCTTAGATTTCTAACAAAATTAACCCGGGGGGGGGGACTCCGGGAAAAAAGTACCCGAGGTGCTCGTCGGAAATTTTCAAAAAGACCCTTAAAAGATACCGGAAGTCTTTAAAAAAGGGCGTGGCTGAATGATTTTTAACCCCTATAAAGAGATACCACGACAAATAGTATTAAATTAAAAGCGCCTAGGATAAGCCATATCAATGCGCGCTTCTCTCCTTTCCCGACACCCTAAGAGATACCAGAAAATGCTGATTTTCAAAAATTAGCATTTAACACCCTAAAAGATACCAAATCGATATAAAGATACCGAATTTTTACCACTAAGAGATACGACGAGCATCCCCGGTACCTTTTTCCCAGAGTCCCCCCCC